GGGGGGCCATGTTATGATTGAGACCTCCTGTATTCCTATTCCTGGTTCTGCGACCATGTCCATCCCCGAGGTGTAAGCAAGGCTTAGGGGGGGCCATGCTATGCTTTACACTTCCTGGACTTATTCCAGCGATAGTTGACATACCCAGTGGCAAGTCTTATTTCTGGAATGAAATAGGGTAACGTGAGTCTAGGGTCCAAGGCCCTTCTATACCACCATCCGAACATACGATCACACATCTTACAGCGCCAGTTCCGAACTATTGACGCTGGTAGGGACCACTGGCGCTACAATGTTTTCGATACACTGCTAGTGGACGCACGGATTAGTCCTTGTCATGACGCAACCAGTCACAACCCACAGAATAGCAGTTTCGCCATCATTGACTGCCAGAAATGTCGCACGCTGTCTCCGCCGGAGCGTGCGCGAATATCGTCTCGCCGTTTCGGTTCATAGACAAGTCAACCGGAGCAGACATAGGGGCCCGCTGGGTCAGGCAACTTGGCAGTAGTCTTGGTGGCATCGTTGTCTTTGATGCATCTTTGTCTTGGTGACTCTTGACATCTTTGTCTTGGTGGTCTCCTTAGGTGCTGCTAAGTCATTGGTTATTCTCTTGGTGGTACCCTCAGGTACTGCCTTGAGTGGTAATAAGTGCTATTCAGTACGGGCTCAAGGTTTTTGACTGTAGACCGCCATTTGTCTCTGTCGATCTTGTCTGAGCTTGACCAAAATCTCAAAGATGCTTTCCAAAGAAGCCTTAGGTATCATTGTGCAGAGCATATATGATGACCTTTTTCTTTCCTTGAAGTCTCAGCAGGTCACATGAGAGCCCGTACCGCCGTGCAAACCACCCGTGAGAAATGCTACTGCATTAGAGAAGAAACTAATAGCTCCTCAAGCACACCTTCGAACACCTTCGAAGACAACTTGCTCACTGATTCGGATATTGCGCAAGGCAATTCATAGACCCACACGGGAGCAACTCTTATTTTCAATGTGCGCGACGACTCCCGTACTGTTCTGGCGGTTCAGTGGCCATGTCCTGAGGTCTCTTCGAAGCCCTGGGGCCTCCCAATGATGCGCTAAAGTGTGGGAGCGAGCGGTCAGAAGGTAGGCTGGCATCGGCGCAGAGTGTCACCACTTTTTTGTTTAGTTGGTCTCTCCCCACTGTGTGAGCAGTCGAATCAAAACGGGCACACGCGCGGGCTCTACTTGCCTAAGCCATGTTTGGGGGCCCTAGCCTGCTAGGATCGTAAACTACTAGAATATGTTGACCTGGGGGCCCTGTACAGAATGTCAACACTTCGTGACTCTTGACCTGAGACGCACAGCACTTGCAAGGATTTGCGCCGAAGCCTTTGCTAAATGCCAACATCTAAGTAAGGTACTGACACCTGCGATGTGCAGAAACCTCTTTTCTGAGAACCAACAACGTATCCACCACGAGAGCCTTCGACCTGTACAGACATGTACATACACAATGCCATATTCCAGGTGAGGACCTCAGTCCTGGTCCTGGAGGCAGGTACAGTTTTTTCGGTGTAGTTCGGCATAGTTTCACCTGGTTTCACTGTAGAATCGGGGCCTTGCGCGCTTCACTGAAGCAACCGCTTGCGACGGGTTGCTGCCTGAGCTCGAAGATATGCAAGCTTGAAGTGGCCACCACCCTGCATCCTCGTGTTTTCTCTCGTTGCGAAGCTGTTTGAGATACACTGCAACAAGGCTGCCATTTCGCACCTGTCCTCTCCCCTCTCGGGAGGGGTGTGCATTGCAAGACGTGCGTGCGCGTGAAGCGCATTTGAAGCACAGTTGAAGCGTTCAATGCTTTCAACCAGCATGCACTAGCTGCCACTCGATGACAGAACAAGTTGTCGCAGAGCAAGTTGTCGCCAAAGGTTGGTCACACTGCTGACAATGAAGTGCCTTCCCGCTTGGCGCGTTTGGGCCGGTTTTCCAATGCATGCGTGCCCCTTGTACCAACCTTGCAACTTGAGACCATGCCTGTCCGAACTCTCGACTGTGGCTTGTGCACACATTGCAAACATAGCAAACCTAACAAGTGAGGCCCGCGCACGCGGGCCTACATGCCCTGCACAAGCAAGCTCTTGACCTTTGCAATTTCGCGACATGAACTGAGAGGCCGTTTTGCGTAATTCGTTGCCCCAAGTCAGTTTCACTTACATCTTTCAAGTCTCACCCCTGCATGACCTGATTGAGTCTCTGATGGCTGGGTCTTTTCTGGTTTGGTGGTGTTGGTTGTGTGGTTTGTTGGCGTTTGGTTGTTGGTGGGTTTCGTTTTGGGTTGCCTCCTTAGGCCAAAGACTCAATCATCAGTAGCGCAAGATGACCTGGGCATTCTCTGCCCACATGGCGTCTCCACCCGTGCAACAAAAAAGGCGAAGACCTCAGTCTTTGTCCTGGCGGCGAGTACAGTTTTCGGTGTAGTTCGGCGTGGTAGTTTCAGCGTAGTTTCACCTGTTTCACAGCAGATTCGGGGCCTTGCATGCTTCCACAACGGAACCACTTGTGACCGCTTCATTGACTGAACTTGGCTATTTGAAAACCTGAAGTGGCCACCTCCTGGCAACCTCGTGTGCCCTCGTGTGCCATCCTTTTGCAAAGCTGTTTGAGTGTCACCGGCGCTGGGTTGCCTTTTCGCTCCCTCCCCTCCCTCTGTGGAGGGGGGCTGCGCTGCATACACTTGCCTTGGTATGCAGCGCACCCGAGTGGTCCTCTGCCAACAATCAATTCGTGATCTCCTTTGAACCTTCGACAGAGAAGGACCCAGGTTGGTCGCACTGCTCGCAGAGAAGTTCCATTGACCGCCCTGCTAGGCTTTGTACGCATGCCTGTTACGCCATTTGAAACCTTGCCTGTCCGAATGCCGATGCCTCTTGAAACCTCTGAGTGTGTGCACCCATCACGCATGGCCTGAGCATAAAGGCCATCTCTCGAACGCGCGTGAGAAGATGCGCATGAGTACAGGTGCATGCACGACAGCAAGCAAGTTAAGCGCTCAAACTGAACTTGAACATGTGCTGAGAGGCTCTTTTGCATAATTTGTCGCCCCACTTCCGTTTCACCAGAACGTCGCTCCGTTTCACCTTTGCATGACCCACTTGAGTCTCGCGGATGGCCGGGTTTCTGTTTCTTGTTTGGTTGTTTTGGTGTTTTGGGTTGTTTGGTTGTGGTTTCTTGTTTGTTCTTTCCTGGCCGAAGACTCACTCACAAGTAGCACAAGATGACCTGTGCATTCTTCTGCACACATGGCGTCTCCACCCGTGCCAAAAAAAACTTTAAGGACTGCCACATTCGGCTGTGGTTTGCAGCCTTGTCCAGGTCCCATCCAATGACCAGGTCATGGCTCTCGCCAACCTTCAGGCCCCAGTTCTGCGCCTCTTGGGACACCCAAGACGGTGAGTAAAGTTCATTGACTTGCACCTTGGTGGAGAACTCTTCCATGGTCTTTTTACCAGCTTGCGGTTCTTCCGATGGAACTGCGTCTCTTTGTCCGGAGACCAAAGAAACTGGTAACGGCCGTGATCGGCAAGCTGGGTTCTGACTCGAATGGCATGTTGGTGGCTTCTTCATGCCCCTGCCGCATGAGCCATATCTTCTTCACTGGGTCCCAAGCCTCGAACTTCTGGTGAACACGGGATCTTCCCCGACCATAGCGTGAGCAGCCCATTGTTTCGCCTTTGACCCACGGCATTCCGTCCATCCTGATGGTTCCTCTTCCGAGGATTGCCTGGCTGCAGCTTGTGAGGGTCCATCTTCTCCCATTTGAAGTGGTCGCATTGACGTTGCCTGACAGGCTGAGGAGACCGCCAGAGCCAGGATGATGCCACCTTGTCGAGCACGACTCGCGAGTTGCGAAGGGCGACAGCTGGCCGCAATTTTGGTGGGATGGAATCCATCGGCTGTGGATCCACCGTTGGTTGAAGTCCGACCATTCTCTTCGCCTGATGAAGCAGCGCCGCCATGGTAGAAGTCGGACGATTGGGCGGACTTGTCGAATTGCTGGTTGAGCTCGAGTTGAGCCGGCATAGCTGCAATGTGGACGGTAGGCGTCAGCCAGACCACGAAAAGGATCTAGGAGGCTGCCAGTTGTGAGCTCACCCATCCTCTGGCTTTGATCCCTTGAAGGGGCTCAATGTCTCCAGAATGATGAAGTCTTGCCAATTAACGCAATGGGTTTCCAGCAGCTTCACCTTCAGCCACAACCTTTTTTCATGTGACAGGCGCCAACGGCCCTGAAATCACACTGAGGAAATCCTTTTTGGCGGATGGTCATCCTGGCCACGGCTGCGTTCACCTCCTGACTGCTGCAGACTGAGTAGATTTCTCCTTTGTGCCTCATGGACCCTACAAGGTGCCCGCTGTCGGATTTCTCCTCGGGTTTCACCTCTTGACAGGACTGCCTTTGGATACCATCCCAGTCCTGTTCTCGCTTTTGAACCACAAACCCCTCCACAGGACTGCGTTTAACCAAAAACCCAGGAGAAATCGAAACCAACCAGCAAAAGGGTGGGTGTGCGTTTTGCTGTTGGTTTTGTGACTGGATGTTTAAGAAACCTTTCAGCTTACAATCAAAAGTAAAAACTGTCAGCTCAAGACAACCTGACTGACCATTGGTTTCCACTACATGAGGTGCAGCTTGTGCAGAGTTGTTCTTGAACCATTGAAACATATCAACTTCATCGCAGCTGTTTTGCATGCAGGCTCTGCAGGCGAATTGATCAATGTCAGTGAAAGGAAAACGAGACGTAAGGTTTTGAGGTTCTTCTTCGACCGGTTCATGTGGCTGCACGTATCAGCATCGGTTTTCATCATTCCAATCTAGGTCTTCTTCGTAAACCTTCGAACAGCTCCAAGTTCGCGGTGATCTGAGTCTCAAAAGGTTCGGGTCAGTGCCAGCATGAAGGCTAACTGTTTCAACCAAAAACAACACACAATTGTTTCCTGTGACAGCACCTCGTCCTCATTGTTTTTTGCTCAACATGACGCAGCATGCTGTCCCTCCCAATGGCGAGCCTGCATTGGTTTCGTCCAGAAACTTTATTTTGCGGCTGGTGTTGAGACTTGGTTTTGTTTGCGCACTCAGTTCTCATATGCTTTTGGTTGCCTGTACCTTGGTACCTTTTTGTTGTGTTTCACGAGCACCAAAACAAACAAACTAGCCAGCGTTGTGCAGCCTGCGTGAATTGAACTGCGCCGAGGCCAGGCTTATTGCAAGGCAAGGCGCAGACTTTTGTGCAGCCCATGTTGCCAGGCTGAGTGTGTGACCCCAAATTCATGCGTCCGAAACATTGAAAACAATTGTATCACCTCATCATGCAAACGATATTCATCCAAACGATGCTGTTGTTTGGAGGAATGGCTTTGGAAAACTGACCCACGTGGGGTCAAAAGGGGATTGTCCAACGTCCCCAAGGCTGCCCATTTTCGTGGCGGTGGACCTGGGCGGCTCACATGGGATGGTGGGCCTCATTGCTTCATGTTATCCGATTGCTCAATTCCTTGGCTCTACGCCCGTGGGATTTGTGTCACTTGATGGCATGTTGGAGGACTACGAAAACCTGATGGTGCTTTTTTCAGGACTTAAATCTGCCCATGAACAGTTTGTTTGTTCGCTTGAGATGACTTCCTACAGGGACAGGGTTGTTCAAGTTCAGACCGAATGACTGGTTGGAATGCCTGGCAATCGCTGTGTGTGTCTTCTGAGGATGAAACATTTGGAGAATTCCTTGGCCGCTTGCCTTGCTTTGGCATGGATGGTCTCTTGGCCTCAGGTGAGAAGAGCAACAATCTATTTTTGTAAACCTTTCCTATTCAGGAAATAAGAAGGTAAGGACCCCTTCAATAGGGCCCCCTGTAAAAGCCCTTACCTTCTCACTTTTCTTTTGGGCAAAAGAAATGACCACAAGAGCACAGGGAGATGACACATGCCAACAAAGCTCTGATTGAGGACACACCGAACGGATGCTCAAGAGGGGCTAGCTAGAATGTTTGGTCTATCAGTCTTCCGTGCACTGTGTGCAACGTCTCAATGGTTAGATTTGGAGAATTACATTGAAACATTGGCATAAGGTCACCACAGCTTTGCTTTCGTTTGCAGCACAGACAGTCTATGTCCTCATGTGTATCCGCTTGCTTGGTGGCCTTGGTGCTACCTCTTTTGACATCTCGCAGAAGGCTTGAACTCAACGAAGGACTTTTAAGTCGCATGGAGTGTCTTTCGATTTGCTTGCCATCAGCAAGGGTTGAAGAGTTCCGTCACTACATGAAAGGGTTACCATCTCTTCATACATGAACGCAGCTTCATACTCGCATCTCCATGTGGAGGCTTATATCGCTGCAGAGGTGCCGCCGGGTATGCGTGGGAGGATCGCGGCACAAATCGCCAGTACGCAGAAGTGGGCCGTTATGAGCCTTCCTCTTCAATTCAAGATGCAGTGGGTTGGAGATGTGGGAGTCAAAGAACTGATTTGAAACGCTTCCAGCGTGCATCTCAGGTCAAGATTTCAATATTCAAGGGCTACAGCCTTTTTTGGGCCACAGATAATGGATCAACATGAACATGTTCACTGTTTGCTTCCTTGGTTTTGAGTGTCCAGTCAAATACCGTATCAAACCAGGTTATCGGGCATTATAAATCCTGCTTTGATTGCTTCAGTTTTGCTGTGATCTCAGGAATCTGATATTTACAAACTTTCCTGAGAAGAGGTACTTTGTCTCACATAGTCTACTCTAGATCCCTGTTCGGTATCCATTCCACCCCTCCCAGATACGAGTTTATTTACAGACCATTGGGTTTTGTTGACGAAAATCGTCCTGCAAGGGTCTTTTCTTCAGGTTTTCTGTTTGCCCCGGGGCAGGGATGTCGGTAAGACATTTGCTCCAGTTCATTTTTTAGTTCGTCCGAGGATTGCCGCGTTGCTCAGTGGGGTGGTGGCCCAGCACCTGGCGACGCGGAGCATTTTCTTGGTCCAGGCAACGTTGATCGGGGGCCTCACTTATCCCACCGGTCTCATGTGTCCAAACAGGAAGGCAGAGTTCTCCAATTAAGGCCCAGTTGCAAAGTTATGTAATGTATGGTTTATCCAGATTCCTATTTCTTTAAAGAACAATTTTCACCAATATGTTCACCTGGCAGGCCTCCTTGTCATTTTGCGCTTTACTCCTCATTGCCTTGCACAGCCTCTACTTGAGAAGGAAGAGCGCTGATGTGGAGTTGCAGGACTCAGGTGCAGCAGCGCCTCAAGACGTCTCTTTGCGGGCAATTGTACGAGATCACTGGCGAGGATTGTTAGGTGCAGGCTTGTACTGCGCCATGCTGAATGGCTTTCGAAATACCTGGATGGTGTCGTTGCCTTTGCGAGGGCATCATATTGGGCTGAGCAAGATGGGCATTGGTGCCAGCGTGGCGTGGTACAGGGGATGTGATGCCGCGGTCACCACCGCAGTTGCAGGCACTGTTTGTAGTGAAGAGAGCATTGCCAGAGATCAAACTTGTTGAAGCTCTTGGTTTCAGAAATTCGCCAGCTGCTGGTTTCCCATTTTCATTCATTTGCCATGCCGAACTTTGGCACTGACCTGTCCAAGTCAAAGAAAAAACAAGTGCAACCAACCAAAAGCATCCCAAAACAATCTGCGGGAGGCTACATCATGGACAATTATGGTCTTAAAGCTTCAGCAGTTCCCTCCATGCTGCTGATGAGTGCAGCCTTTTCACTCCTGGCCATTGTGCAAGGTGGGCTGACAACTCGGCGAGGAAGCGCTCACCAGACCAAGCTGAGACCGACTGGGGCAGACGGTTAATGCTTTCATTTCAGCCGCGTTGTGTTCACATGAACTCAGATCACCGGACCATCTCATTATATAGTATTATGCAAATCACTCAAGACTCATCTCAACTGGGTGTTTTTGGACCCTTTTTGCCACGCCCAGCGGGCCCAAATCTTCATGTTTGAAGTCTTGTTGTTGTTGTTGTTGCTGCTGCTGCTGCTGTTGTTGTTGTTGTTTGTTGTTTGTTGTTTGTTGTTTGTTGTTTGTTGTTGTTGTTGATGATTATTACTATTATTATTGTTACTAAACCATTACTATTATTATCATCAATATTACTATTGTTACTTGTATATATATATATATATCATATATCTATTTTCTAAACGTTTTTCTTGACATATTTTCGAGAGAACACGTCGTTTACTTCACTTCCAGTTCTGCAAGTTGGTCAGGTCCCATCTCCTTGGCCTTGGTGGCGCTGGTCTTCGGCGTCGGCAATGGGATGTGTGGGGGCGTGATCAACGCTTTTGCGGCCAGCCTGACACCCCCACACGCGCGGACCCAGTTCTTGGGCTTGTGGATGCTTGGAAGTCAGGGCGCAAAAGCCTTGGTCTTGAGGACATTGCGTGTGGATGTATTTGCTTGCTTGTTTGTTTGATTTTGTTGTGCAGGGTCGATGGGTTATAGGGAAGAGTGTGATGGGATATACTGACTGAGTGAGAATTCACCTTGTCCCAGCCAGCCCGGTGGTTCTTATCCATCTTTTTGCAAAAGAGGGTCTCCCAGCAAGAGTGTTCCAGAAGAAAGCCAGGAGCAACCACATAAGTTGGTTTATTGCGTGTCGTTCTTTTTTGCTGATAGGGAAGACGATCTACCAAGCTTCCAAGGAAGACTGTCACCTCCTTGGGTGGCATTTGTGTGCCACCCATCTTTGGACTGGTCTCCGATTCATCGACCCTGGACATGGCAGGCTTTTGCATTTCTGGTGCAGCGCTTTGCACAGCGCTGTGGACGGTGCTGATGGTTCAGCAGGTGGTTCCCAGCAGGAGGGCGGGCCCATCTCCAGCTCAAGGAGATCAGGTCTCAGTGTCCTTGGCCAACAATCCATCTCCAGCTTGAAGCCATGTCGAGGGAACTGCCAAGCAGAAACAACTCTTGATGGCTTGGGTGGGGGGCTTAATCAAAACCCAACTGATGACTGGAACTTGGCTAGCGGCTAGCCGATCGGCAGCAGCCAAAAGCCTGAGAGGCTCTTTTTCCAGCGCACCGATCACAAAGCATCACTTGCTCTGCCAGCCTTGAGTCCTTTCATTTCATTTAGGAGGTTTTATGAGAGAACCTTCAAGCATGACCATGCTATAGCCTGGTGCTTAGATTGGTCTGTATGGTACCACACGGTTTGTAAGCGGTTTTGCCATTCATCACCAGAGGTGATGATTTACTGTCCTAGAGCTTCCTGTTTGTAAATCACCGTGGAAAGACAGTTGTCATCATCTAAACCAAGCTTCCGTGAACTCTGAGGGTTTTCGGACGGGGAAGTTTCGTCCGAAAAGCATGTGGCTCAATTTATGCGCAGCAACCATTGACCCATGGCGACGACTATTCGTCAATCTTTTTGTCAATCATTGTGTTTGGGGAGTGGCGGATTTCGGCATACAATTGCTGGTTCAACTGCTGGGATTAGCACAGCCCAGAAGCCTCCACGACATCGCAAGAAACAGCGTACAATTGCAGTTATCTCGAGAGCACCGTTGTTTTAAGACATTTCTTTGACCATAGAGATCCGGAATGTCAGAGGAAAGCTTCACCAGATTGATCCCGCTTTGGGGCTCATGGCAAGACTCTGGATTTGCATCCTTCCGACGTATTTGGCGTTTTCACCACCTGGAAAGACGCCCTTCCATGTCTGGTTTGAAGAGCCCCAGCCGCGGTATGCACAGAAGTGGTCCTCCTATTTGGAGGTTTACGAGCCTCGATTAAAGCAGGACCTGTAGATGTGAGAGCTGGATTGTGCAGACATCGTTCCCAATCCCAGGGCCTCCTTTGTAGACAGAGAGAGAGAGAGAGAGAGAGAGAGAGGGAGAGAGAGAGAGAGAGAGAGGGAGAGAGAGAGAGAGAGTGGCTCCTGTTCTAGGCCTTTTTTTGCTTGAACCCAACGTGCTCAGGATAGATACTTGTCGAAGTTCCGGAACAGCTCGTGTAGCTTGCTGGAACTGGGTGTGCAGAGTGGCGGTTCGCAGCTGATGTGGCGGGACTATTTAGGTCCCAAGAGCCACATTTACGGAATAGACATTGAACCAGCAGTGACTGAGATGTCTCAAGCTCGGATTACCAACTTCATCGGCGATGTAGGGGATCCTGCCTTTTTGACCTCTGTTTGTGAACGGATTGGACATGTTGATGCCATCGTCGACGACGCCTCTCACGTGAACTGGCATCAGAAGTTGGCTTTTGAAGTCCTCTATCCATGCTTAGAGCCGAACGGTGGGATATATATTGTGGAGGAGACAGAAGGGCTGCCTATGTATATTTGTATATATATATATATACTGTTTGACAGTCATGAGCGGTCACTCGGTCAGGCATGACACGCACAAAACAAGAAGTGCACAAACGCTACTGTATAGGCCCAAGCCGAGAAAGAAATTTCGCTTCGCATGGTAGCGGAGCGTGGCCGTACGAGCCCGCTCCGTTGCCCACGACACTGCACTACGACCCGCCGTTTGACATCGCGGAAGGTGACCTCGAAGGGGGCACAATCAATCTCCTTTTGGCTTGTGGAGCTGTTGCTCCTGAGCTGCTTGGCGGGAGGTGCAGGTGACTCCTGGCATCAGGAAGTGTGCCACTACATCCCACCACGAGTGGTGGCACAGCAGTCGAAGTGGAAGGTTCGCTACATCCACTCGATCGAGATCGACACTGAGGAGCACGTGGGCAAGCTGCAGTGGGCCAGAAGCAGTGGGGCAGTTCGAGCCTCATTGCTTGTGAAGAAGAAGAAGGAGAAAGGGAGAAAAGGAAGATCCAGGGAACGGAAGCAGCTGGTGGTGATAGTACCAGCCAAGTGGAAGTTTCTGAAGAAGGTTGAGAAGCTACGAGACCAGACAGACAAGGAAAAGATCTGTGAACTCATCGCCAACTGGGACTTCAAGAAGGTCCTAGACTACACCAAGTTGGAGATCAAGGAAGAGTTCGAGGACGGAGAGCCCAATTTGACCACCAGGACGTACTACCCCAGCGTGGTCTACATACAGGCGATGGCAGAGGAAAGTTTGAAGATGATCTCAACGGCCCTTGAGAGATTGACAGTGACGCAGAGTTCAAGCTCCTGGGCCAGACACTTGAAGACTCCGGATCTGTTCAAACCGGACACCCGGGACAATGAGCTGAAGCAATGGAGCGATTGGAAATTTTCCTTTGAGAACTACGTCAAAGGAACCGATGCACCCATGGCCTACAGCATGAAGCTCGTGGAGGATAACCTCAATGGGAACTATGAGCTGGACGAGATGACGGATGAAACGAAGGCACAGGCTATTCGTCTCTACAGCCTGCTGATCTCCTACCTGCGCAACAGGCCACTGAAGCTGGTCCGACATATGAAGCAGGAGAATGGCTTTGAAGCGTGGCAGAGACTCCTACGAGAGATGCAGCCTGTGACCAGAGCAAGATCACTTGCGCTCCTTACCCAACTATCGAGAGTCCAGTTCGCTGAAGGCAATTCGATCTCGGAGCAGCTGCCTGTGTATGAATCCATTGTGACAGAGTATGAGAGGATCTCAGGCCACACCTACGGGGATGACAACAAAGTGGCATCGATCCTTCAGGCAGTTCCGGCACACTTGAGGTCACACCTTCAGCTATGGATTACGGACACCACGACGTATGAACAGCTGAAAAACAAGGTCATGGAGCTCGAAGCACTGGCCACCAAGTGGGACAGTTCTAATTCGCTCAGCCTCCCTACCAGGATGTCCATGGACGAGACCGTGCCCATGGAGGTTGACAACATCCAGAAGGGGAAGAAAGGTGGCAAGAGTAAGTCAAAAGATGGAAAAGGAAAAGCAAAAGGCAAGGAGAAGGGCAAGACGAAGAGCGAAGGAGGAAAGGGTGCCTGGAAGACCGACAAAGGCAAGAACTTCTGGGACAAGAGTGGACATGGTAAGAAAGGCAAAACCCAAGAAAAGGGTGGAAAGACAGGAAAGCAGTCTGGTGCTTGCCACAACTGTGGCAAAGTCGGGCATTTTGCCCGGGAATGTTGGAAGAGAGTTGCCCCGATTGAGGAGACAGGAGGAGGACAAGCCTCGTCGTCTACGGGGCAAACAGGAGCAGCACCCTCAGCGTCGACAACAACAGCATCAGTGAAGATGGTACGTATGGCTACACCGCCAGACACACCAAGTTTGGAGATCTTTGACCTCACGGCCTCAGGATCAGAGGACAATGAGTTCCCATGGAGAGTGGGAGCGATTGAGACAAAGTATGAAGAAAATGAGAGGGATGAAGAGTTCTTTGACTGCATCGAGCCCGTGGTGAACATCCCGGCGGGCATTGTGATTGTGGCCATGGACCTTCAGGACAATGAGGAGAAGCTGGTGCAAATGGTGAGCACTGGTTCAGAAGCTGGAGATGAGTGCCTGGTTACGCTCGACAGCGGTGCTGATATTTCAGTACTGCCCAAAGCCTATGCAGATGTTGGGCATTGGGCGCCAGGCTCAGCAAGCTTGAGGATGGTTGATGCTCAAGGAAAGCATATTGCGCACAATGGTGTCACAAAAGCCAGGATCAGCACCACAGATGCAAATGGAAAGAAAGTTGAGATGGTGGAAGAGTTCGTGCTGGGGAACGTGCAACATCCGATCCTATGTGCCGGACGACTTCTACGTAGAGGTTGGAGTATTGAAGGGGAGAACGGCCAGCTTGGTCTGCAGCACAAAGAAAGGGGCATCCACGTCCCCATTAGTGGAGAAAGAAATTCCCTGCAATTCAGTGCGCGCATCTCTGTGGTGGAGATGGCAGGTGAGAAGGGAAGCAACAAGATAGAGTCGCGTGTTCTGGCTTTGCGAGGAAGCCTCAGCCGATACGTGAAGGACTTGGAATTGCAGCCAGGATGGCATCAGCTCCCCAACGGCATAGTAGCCTACAGTGATCCAGTGGCAGTGTCACTTGCCGATCCCCGAGGACAAATCGAGGAGGCATGGAAGTCGAGAATGACTTTGTTGAAGGAAAAGGAAGGCGCATGGATCCAGGTTGAGAACATTGAGGACTACCTGGACTTGGGATCAGAAGCCTTCAAGAGATTTGGGAATAATGGACCTCAAAGAACGATCACCTTCTTTGCACCCTCTATCATGGAGGATTACTGGGAGGAATCATCGGAGGTACCGGTCAGGCCATATCCAGAAGAGAAAAGGCGCGAACCACAAGCAAGGACAGACTGGTCTGAGGACGACAGAGAGGAGGAAGAGGACATGGAGGCAAAGATGGAGTTCCATGACATTGAGAAGATGGTAGTGGCGCAGAGGCCAAATGAAGTGGAGCTCGACGAGACCGTCTACACGGAGAAGATGAGTGTAAAAGACTTGCAAATTGCATGCAAAGAACGCCAGCTGTCATACAGTGGAAGCAAGAGGAGACTGTTGGACAGGCTGGTCGCATTCAAGGTCAACTTGGAGAACAACATGAAGCTTGAAGTGGCAAGCAAGCTCTACAAGGAGCAGGAAAGGAAACCATTGGCACTTGGACAACCCCGACTGCCATCATTGAAGGAGCAGGAGATACATTTTGTGACTCATCTTCCATATGCTCCTTGGTGCCAAGCATGCGTAGCCACCAGGGCGAAGGAAGACAAACATGAAATGAGGGATGACAAACCAGACCAGGGCAAGAACGTGATTCAGATGGACTTCTTCTACACATACACAGGTGAGGAGAAGAGGATGGACGAAGCCCGGGTAGACAAGGTGACCGAAAGAGCTGACCAATATGGTACATGCTTGGTCATGGTGTCCTCAGAGACCAAGGCAGTACATGTTGTCCCCGTCCCATCAAAAGGAACAGCAAGCTTGAAGACTGTGACAGAGGATGTGGTGCGCTTCTCCTTGGAGAATTCCTCAATGGACGGGTGCATATTCCAAGGAGATGGAGAAAGGGCAATGAGGCAACTACTCCGGTCTGTTCAACAAGTCAGAGCCATAATGGGACTGCCGTGTGAGGTGAGGATGACAGGCAGCAATCAACATGCATCAAATGGCCAGGCGGAACGGGCAGTTCAGAACGTGAGGAGACTGGCCAATTGCATCCGCAGCTTTGCAGAGTCCAGGGCCCGTTTGAGCATCATGGGGAACATGCATGTGTACCCCTGGTCATTCAGGTATGCTGGATTCCTATTGAACAGATTCAGGGTCCTGGAGAAAGTCAACAAGACATCCTATGAGCTGGCGACGGGACATGGCTACCGTGGGAAGCTGGCTTTGTTTGGTGAGTCGGTGATGTTTAAAAGACTTGTGAAGTACAAGGCCAGCGATCTGTTTGAGCGAGGAGTATGGGTTGGAAAGCACAGCTGGAATGACAACCACATTGTGTTGAGCCCAGAAGGTGCATTTGAAGCTCGGCCGATCAGGAGGCTGGCAGCAGAAGAGGCATTTATAGCCACAGACATCGTTGTGGCGAAAGGCTTGCCGTGGAGTTACAATCCACAAGGGATCCTCATGAAGCATGCAGGCCAAGCACAACGGTATAGACAGCCTACACTTGAGAACGAAGCCACGGAGGAGGAAATGAAAGCCCTCACAGATGCGGTAGCTGCAGGTGTTGTGACGCCAGCGCCTGGACTGAAGCCACAACCAATGACACCAGGAATGGCAATGACACAAGCGCTGCCACAGACACCAGGAGCCGAATACTCCAAGGAAGAGACCAAGTGATGGAGAAGGTGAAGAACCAGAGAGAAAAAGATTGGATGCAACGGATTCACCAAGGAAGGCCCATGACAAGAGGGAACCTGACGATGTTAGCCCAGGGACGGAAAAGAAGCAAAAGCTTGGTGAGGATGAAGGAGAGCAGGAAGGGTCAACGAGTCTGCCATCGAAGATCACAGCAACGAGGTCAAGAGAGGAAGGTGAGGAAATGGCAGTTAGCTCTCCAACCAAGGTGGCAAGGCTATATCCCCCGCATTATGCTGGCATTCAAGCAATTGAGGCTCATGGAGACGAGGAGGTTGGCCAAGAGTTGATTCCGGAGGAAATCAATGAGGAGCTCTTCGCTGGATATGGCGGAAATGAAGATGAGGAGCCACCCATCACGTCAGATGAGCACCTACAATTGCTAGACGAGCAAGCAAAACGACATGAAGTGGAAAGAATGCTCCAGATGCCGGCCATGGAAAGGTCCAACAGGAGTGAAGTGGAGGAATGCGATGGCTACACCATTTCCACAAAGTTCGTCATCACCTGGAAGCACAGGTTGGAAAAGGGTGGATGGTTTCGACGGGCACGTTTGGTTGCGAGGCAGTTGAAGAGTAGTGTAGACCTTGACCAAACATTTGCCCCTACGTCGATCATGGTCCTGCCCAAGATGCTCATCCATTTGATGATCAACGTCTTTAAGCACTTCAGGGCCATGACTTTGGACATCAAGGATGCCTTCCTGATGGCAGATCAACCGGCAGAAGAGAGAGCTTTCGTCGAGCTGGATGGGCAAATCTACAGACTCATCAAATGTCTACCAGGCCAGAGGACTGCAGCATCTCAGTGGTTCCAACTGTTCGTTGGAGCTGCGAAGAAGTTTGGATTGAAGCAGGATGCGATACAGCCCACCTTGCTGATGATGGAGAAAGAAATGTACATCACGGTCCATGTTGATGACATCTTCATGGTGGGGAATGAGGCCACGTTGAAGAGCTTCGTGCAGTACATGCAGAAGAAGAAGGGGTGGAACATTGAAGTCAAAGGGCCATTCAACATGAATGAGAAGTTCCACTACTTGAAAAGAGAATTCTGGCCTGGAACCGAAGGATGTGACATCAGGTGCGACTACAAGCAATATGAGAGCCTTGCAAAGGACACTGATGTGTACAAAAAGGCCTACAGGAAGACCCCCATGGACCAGAACTTCGCCAAGAAGGATGAGAGCCCGCTGCTGGAGGCCGAGGACATCACCAAATACCGCAGCGTGGTTCAGATTGATGTATCTGGCAGGCGAAAGGCCCGACGCACAGTTCAGCATCCAAAGCTTAGCAAGAAGCATGGCGAACCCCACGCACCAAGCATGGAAGAACGCGTGGCATGTGTGCTCATACCTGCAAGGCACCATGGGCTTCGGCGTGAGGATTGGCCTGCGAAAGAAGGGCCAGTCGGTCATGGATGTGAGAGATCAAGAGGAGGTGGATGAGAAGGAGAAACACTTGATCGAGGTGGTGACCGACGCCGACTATGCAGGTAATAAGAACGACAGACGGAGCACTACATCATTCCAGATCTTCATCGATGGAAACTTGATGGAATCCAGGGTGCGATCACAGAAAGCAATAGCTTTGTCCTCAGGTGAGTTTGTGGCCATTGTGGCAGGATGCTCTGACGGGATGCTAGTTCGGCACCTTTGGATGGCTATGGTTGGTGAGCCATGCGACATGAAGGTTCGATCTGACAGCTCAGCCGCTCGAGCAATGGTACAGCGGCAGGGAATTGGTCGAGTACGACATCTAGATGCAGCACTGTTGTGGGTGCAGCAAAAGGAGAGAGAGAAGATCTTCAGTGTGAGCGCCATTGGCACCGAGCTCAATTGTGCAGATATCGGCACAAAGAACCTCACGAGGAGCCGACTCTTTGGACTGCTGTTCATGCTGAAGATGGTCAACGGCATTGGAGACCGCATTGGTCAACAAGAGTTCAAAGATTTGGAGTACAAAGAGAGAATGAGGAAAGCCACCAGGAAGATCATGAAGGTGAAGGACTTGCACGTGGGACTACTGATGGTCCTGTCAAGGCTGGATGAAGCAGCAGGAAAGGACCCCGAGAAGGAAGAAGAGGGATATGATTGGAGCTGGATGGTGTTTACCCTATGCGCAGTGATTGGGGCCTTGAGCATTGGGGCATGGCTGCGGCGCTATGTGTTTGAATCCTTCCTGGGCAAGGGCTGGCACTACATCATGGAATTCGTGGCGGCCAAGTCTGGGAAGGGGAGCCAGCAGAAAAGGCTGGGAAGGAACTGTGTGGCCACTCAGGCCCATCAAGAAGGCTTGCGATCCTACCTACAAGCCTATGAGGAAAATGAAGCCAAGATGGCAAAGAAGCTGCATGATCAAGAGCTCTACATCGAGGAGCTGGAGAGTGGAATAAGGGAGATTTGCTTGCAGCGGCAACAGGCTCTAAAGGAGCTTGAGATCTCAGAAGCATACGGTCTGCGAATGCTGAAACAGACCACAGAGTACAGAGTGTCACAACGGGGAAATGTGATTCACTTTTGCGCAAGATGCCCATTTTACGAGCATGCGCGTGAATTTCCCCTCTGTAAAGTTTGCCTGACCGAAGGGACGGTGTTTGACAGTCATGAGCGGTCACTCGGTCAGGCATGACACGCACAAAACAAGAAGTGCACAAACGCTACTGTATAGGCCCAAGCCGAGAAAGAAATTTCGCTTCGCATATACTATACATACAAACGATATATTTTTTCTTCCCTTTTTGCTCTTGCCAAACATGTCAAACCTCCGTGCACCTTGTGCAAACGGCTGATTGGATGAAATGCAAGAGACTTGTTCTTGCAATGAAGCTGGCAGCGGCTGAAACCACTTTAAAACAATGGTTTCTTTGAACCGCGCTTCAATTTCAGACCTATCCCACCACTGGTGGATTGAGGTTTCTGGATGTGATGCAAGTGCCTCACCTGCTTCAGGACATCGGCACCTCCTACAAGCCTGGCTACGGGGGTGGCTGGCGTTCTGAGGACTCTTTCGTGGAGTTCGCCAAGGCCAAGATTGATGAGCTCCAGGCAATAGGGATGGCGGTGGTTGGGCTCCAGACCGGTGGACAGGATGAACCAAGGAGTCTTCGGCTAGGCAGGGAAGCAAACAAAGCCGTGACCAAGAGTGGCTGAAGCGCCCCAGTGGAGGGGAGACGACACAGCTGGTTCAGAAGCTACTCTTATCTGGGCTTTGTTACGTGCGGTCTGTCCATTCTGTTTCATTTTTCTTTTTGCCTTGAAACCTTTGACTACCTTTTCGTCTCCTACCCTGCCTCACTGTTTTCTCTTGTATGGTAGGCTATGCGGCAGGCTGACCCTGCAGAGCTAGCTAATTATTTGCCCTTTATGTCAGTTTCCCAAATCGAACTGTTAACAGTGCTTTCCTTTTGCTATTGGTTCTTGAATTCTTGAATTCTTTTCAGGTTTTGGGGGGCTTGCATGTGGTTTGGTGGGCGCCTGTGCGAGGCTTTTTGGTCCTGCAGCGGTTCGGTGGTCAGTGACCGCCGCGGGCGTTGTCAGCAGGGAGCACTGGAAGTGCCGTGCTTGGGATGAAGTTTTGTTCAGTTACGCGAAGCGGCCGAAAGCAGAATCAGTAGTAGTCAGAATGAGCAAACGTTTCTGATTTATGTATATAGTTCAGTTGGTTGGTCTCCTCCGAAACTGGGCTTCTCGCAACTGAAAGGAGAGTCCGCTGCTATGGGGATTCCGTCCAGTTTCGTCTCCCATCTCTGAAAGGATTCCAAAGTACGTCAGTCAACGGCGTTTGTTGAAGTCAGTCAACCTTCTTGACCAGTTCAGACTGGCCCACTAAGCCATACTAAGCCTACTCCCCTTCGCAGTTTTCGATCTGGGCATTTGCTGAAACGACGATGTTTCGGCTGAGGATTTCATCATTCACCCGATCTAGCTCAGCTATTCACATTCACGATGGCTTGATCGTGTTCGAGAAGCACTACAAGGAACCTGCGATCTCCCTAGAGACTGGATTGAAGAGACTGCCCAAGCGTTTCGAAGGCTACAGCGCCTATCGACCACATCTGGCGGATTGGACGCCACCGGAGGGTTCGTGCAAGGTACCGCAGCCTTTCGAGCTGGACATCATCCACGAGTCTTTCCGCAGCCGGGCGAACCAAACCTTCTCCGAACACGTGGAGTCCTTCATGAACCACGTCTCCGCAATGGGAGCAGCGGAGTTGAGGCAAAAGTGTGGTGAGATCATGTCTGTGCTCCAGGATGGTTTGCATTGGTCGGCCTTTGGCATGGATTTTACCTTGTTGCAGCTGAAACGGCGAAGTGTCAGCGTGGAATGGAATGCTTCAACGGAGACGCCTCTGGCACGATTCCTCCGGTCCACTGAGAGAGATGTTCGGGAGGTGCTCGACTGGTACTTTGACAAAAGAGGCGACTGGGCAGTACTGTAGGACCTTTGGACATCCCTGTTCCTCGTTCCTCGAAGCAGTGCCCTGGACCCCAAGGTTGCCAAGGTTATAAGGATTTTGGTGGCAGTGGGCATTGCTCACTATACCAATATTTCAAGGTTTTGGGCGACTGAGATGGGCTGGGGGATTCAACGTACTTCATTTCCGACCTTCCTCCTTTTGACCTTCTTGTGAGGTTAGGACAAATGAAGCCCATAGCTACCTATAAAATCCTTTTGTGAAACATGCATCTGCATTCCTTGGACCGATGGCCAAATCAACTGTGGGTCTAAGCCTGGGACCTGCCCCAGAACATTAAAGAGAGGGTTAGCAGTGGATGGTTTTGGCGGTTTTTGGTCATCCCAGAAAGCTACTTTGGCAGGCGCAAATTTGATGTGATAATGAGGTACGATTGTACGATTATTCGGCGTCGGTGTCAAATGGATGTATGCAGGTCTTGCAGCTAGCATGGATGTCAGAAACCTTGAAAACGATTACCCCTCACTCTTTCCAAACCGCCCCAAACGTCCAAGACACCTACGCATTTAATTCTTCCAACACGAGCTTGCATCATTAGCATTTCTACTATCCAAGTTATCAGTTTTATCCTCCAACTGACTTCTTCACCACACCCCTTCACCAACGAAGTGGATCCGGAAAATTCTCAGAGGGTTGGCGGTTGCAGGTGATTGCAAAGTCAACAAACTTTGTGTTTTATATACAGATAGATAGATAGATAGATAGATTAGATTAGATTAGATTAGATAGATCGAACATCTTTGATTCAATAACTTATTAGAACCTTCCGTTCAAGTCGTCGACGAGGCATTGAGTATGCAGAGGTTCAAGGATAAATCCAAGACTCTGAAGACAAGAACAATCACGAGTCACTGGAGTCTCATTGACTATCGTGCGCCAAGAGTCTCATTTTGTTCTCCCTTAATCGGTCAAATCTCATCACGCATGGGTGCTTTTGGCAAATATCAATAAAGGCTTTAGGTGTTCCATGGACCTTATTGCCTTGGGTTCTTGATCCGCCGACCTCTCCAGGGACCTTCCATCCGCTAGTCCTGGTCGATTTGATCTACCGGAATCGTTGGCGCCCAACGCCGCAAGCGTTGCGCTTCGCCCGGGCGCGGGATGCATTGCAGCCACTTGGTGTTTAGTTTATCCACTGTGGCATGCCTCCAACCTACTGGCAATGGCCTCCAACCTACTAGTACCGGATAGGGATCCCTAGGGAGCGAAGTTTGTTGGACACATGCAGTTGACATCTTCGGTAAGACTAACACAGGCCAAGCGAATGAGTTGTGGGATATAAACGTGGACCTAAGCATTAAGGGCAAACAGGAGTTTTGTCGTTGTACCACAGAGGATGGCTAGTGACCTGTTGTGGGATTTGGTGAAGCTTTTTTGCTCAGGACATGATGCCGCTTGCAAAAGTCGTGTTCAGTGGGAGTTGGCTCAATTGGTACAAGGTCAAAAAGTATGGCTATGGGCTTAGCAGAAAAGGTCAATATGTGTACTGTGTATTTACCTCCAAAAAAGTATGAGTAAGACAAGCATATCATCAGAGAGGGTTGAGTGGGAGATCTGTTTCAATCTGTGAAGTCATTTTATGCAGGACTTAAGCCCTCAAGTCCATTGATAGTCTTTCGATACCCTGACTCACGGTTCTTCCACATGGACCTATCCCATGGACGCCACACCCAGACACGATGTTGAGGTTGCAACGCGAAGGCTTCGTGCGCTTTGAGGACTTTGGCTTGGACCTGGCCTGGCTCCAAACTGAGGCCAGCGCTGCCTTCGCTGCTTCCGCGTCGACGTCGCTGGTGCAGGCAAAGCAGGTGAGACTGCAGAGCCTGGTGTCTCGGTTTGTGCTGGGACTTGGTCGCTTGGTGGGATGTTGGGAGGACAGGGGATGACACGTTTTTTACGTTTTTTTTTTGGTTTGATTTGGGGTGGGCTTCTTGGGCACTACGAGCTTTAGCCAAGGAGCCTTTGCTCAAGGATTATGGGATTCTAGAGCTCACCGCCTTCTATTTGGGCGCTGATGTGGAAGTCACTGGCTACAAACTGCTGCGTGTGAGGGAAGGCACCACTCGAGCCGATTACATCTCCAGCTTTTGGCACCATGATAACTGTGGAAGCCGCCTGAAACTCTTCGTCTTTTTGCAAGATGTGGGTGGCTTGCCAGCTAGATGAAAGTCGGGGGTACAGAAGGCAAGCTCTTGTTTGTGCCTTCTGAAGCCTTCTGAAGCCTTTCCCCTAATTTTGGAGCCAACGACTTTTTAGCAGTTGTTCGGACTACCAAGGAGAAGATGGCTACTACACAGAAATTGCCCGAGGAAGTCAAAGCTTGGCGTATTACTGGTACGGCCCTGCCCACATGTCGCGCTTCGATGATGCTAGTGTTGAGGCGTCCTTCAGCATTGAAAAAATCCTCAGCCGACGTGGAGGTGGCTTCCTGTTTGACACCAATACGATCCACAGGGCGAAGGCTGGGGAAAAGCACCTTTAGCTGGAAATAGAGTCAAAATCATGAGAGTTGGAGGATGATCTCGCACAATCTCCCACAATCTCACTGAGAAAGTTTATGGATTGCTAGCGATTGGCAACCTTCTCATGGATGTTGGCACGATGAGGGGACATGTCATTTTTCGCTGATTTGACTTGCCCAACACTTTCCTCCCTCCAACGAACCCTGCCTTGCGCAAGGTGGAAGGCCCGGGACAGCTGCGGGACGCTGTGATTGTGGAGCTGGCGAACGCCCACAAGATGCATGCGGGGATCCCGGCCCAAGGACCTTGCCCGGAACCCAAGACCTACAAGGTCTCCCACGTCTCTTTCCCCTTCCCCAGCGGCCGCGGCTTTCGCCAGCGACGCCCGGGGTTTTAGCAGCGCCCAAAGTGGCACAAAAGATATGGGGTGAGGCGAAGGGAAAGGCTCTTTTTTGGAGGCTCAGGCTCAGGAGGTAATAGTTACATTACATGTTTTTGCACAGCCATTGTCGGATTCAGCCAGTGATGTTTTTGCAGAACGACAGCACCAGTCTCTCCAAGCATCTGGCAACCTTCGTGTGAATCAAATTGCTTTGGGCTCTCAGCAGAAGGGTTGCTCATATTGCATGGAAAGGTGCTGAGAAGGCTGACCTGGCCTGTTTCTTTGGCAAGTGTGGCTTCTAAATGCCACCATGTCAGTATTGATGTGAATGATCATGCCGGCAGGGTGGGCGTTTGCCCCTGGGACGGCCAAATGGCATCGTCCTCAGCGTTCAAAGAACTACTAGGCGAGATGTATATAAGGACGGGATAGGACGGGCAAGCACAGACACGCAGGTCAACATGGGCCGCATTGCAGCCTCATGGTTCCTAATTCTATTGTTTGTCACAGATTCGTCAAAGTTTCTTGCTAAAATTCTTCCACAAGCAGAGACCCTTGATACATAATATATACTGTATAATTATAGATCCCAAGTTTACAGATGGGCAGGTGAAACACATGCAAGAGCCCCCAAGTTCTTTGCAACTTCCCCTAAATGGTATGGAATCGGTGTTCGCATGTACCTGGTGCAAGAAGTCATTTTGTGTAAAGATAAGGCTTTTTCAATGCCCACCAATCACTTTTTGTTTTTATATTTGATTGATTGATTGTCAGGGTGGCCATAGACCAAGGTCCACAGCAGCGCCGTGCTACGGGTGTGGTAGCCTGGAAGGTAGGGGGCGGCGTGACAGTCCGACTCTTTGGTAGTTTTTCGAGAATCTCTCGGTCACGTTGGGCCACTGAACTTAAACCTGTCAGACTAGTGGTCATTTTTCAAGAATCTTGTATCTCCAGGAAACTTGTGTGTGGGTTTTCTCCTGTAGGTATACAAGTTTCCAGACAGGGTTGACAACAAACGAGTAGATCTGTGGTGGGTGTCCAAAGAGGGACCACATAAGCGAGTTGAGGACTTGTGATGCCAGAGTTGGGGTCACTGAGCTCTTGGAGTCTCCTGATGACTTGTAGGGCATTTTGCGTTGGAGGCCATCGCTAGTAGGTTGGAGGCCACTACAGTTAGGTTGGAGGCCATCGCCATTAGGTTTCAGGCCCCAGGCCCCACTTCTCTCAGCTGTTTCCACGCACCAGCTGTGCTGAGGTGAGAATCGAACCAGGCATCCCCAAACTACTGGTGAAGATCAACCCCATTGATGCGGAAGCGTTCCATGTGCCTGCACCCAGAAAACCAGTGGGTTGAGGACCTTGCGACTTTGCTTGGAAGTCAAGGAACCGGCAGGTTGATTTGCAGTGAATTCCTGGTTGGGACCTTCAACACTTTCAGACACCAAAAAACCACGGCAGACGACTAGCGTGATTGACAGCGGATTGGGCATAGAACAGCGTGATTGTCCAAAGCACAAGTTTATAGAAGGGAATCGTGGCGTCGTGGACATGGCCTTTGTTTGATCGGCACTGATGTTGCGGATTCAAAAGGAAGTCGCCTGTCTTTCATTTTTCACACCAACAAACAATCTGGGAGATCAACAACAAAATTGACCTTTGCAGTTTTGATCTGCTGCAAGATGCCAAGTCCTAGCTTGTTTGTCGCTCTTGGTTGATTCTCGCCGCTGAGGCCAAGAATTTGGGTGAAGTAACTCTTCGCAAAGGCGTCACAAGCCGAAGCCAGGCCGTGAACTCAATTGGGTTGTTAGGACAACGTCAGTGGGGGCCACAGGCTTTGCCATCATGGTCGTTGAGTTTGGGCACTTTAGTGGTACAGTGGCCCTTGGAACAGGGACCCTAGGCACTGCACTATGTATGCCACACCGCCGCCCGTTTTCGTTCACGTTCCTGTCGGTTTGTTTGTATATCTACTTTGGGGCTTGTGTTTGAAGGTTGCTTCGGGATTTTGTATGGTTTGGTGTTTTTGCTTGAAGTCTGTTTGTTTATGGTGCCTGGATGTGCTGGTGGCTTTATATAGTTGAATTACTTGAAGGATCTTTCTGTAGTAGAGTGCTTCGCCTTTGCATGCTGTGCTTGCTTGGTTACGGTGCTTAGTGCTTAGGCCTTCTGTTTCTTTGGCTCAGGTTTGCTCTTTTGAGGATTTGGGCTTCTTCATTATTAATGTTTCTGTTTATAGGTTCGATTACTTAGGGTCTGTTTTGTTTGTTTATGATGCTTTGGATTTGGGTTCTTTGTTTGGGCTCCTTCAATTTACGGCAGGCCAAACACGAACTCGAACCCGAACCTACTCCGCCATCGACTTCCAGACACGAACCCAAACCTGTTCTCGTTCACGATACCCAGACTCCGGAGCAGTAGAACCTACATTTGCATTTTTACAATCGGGCGAATCAGCAGTCATCCAAGGATTCAGAACATAATGAACCCGCCACCGTGAGGTTGCAGTTCTGCACATGAGCCGGCAAACAGTGAAGGGAGAGGCTGAGTGTTTGTTTGTCGTGAGATGCATTGACTGGTGCCTTGAGAAAGCCAGCACGATCCAGTGCATTTTTGCGTGATGCAAGCAATTGAACATAGGGCATCAGAGGGCAATCTGGGCAATCTGGGCAATCAATATTGATTTTCAGCTATCCCGGGATTGTGGCTTGAAAGCGACCCAAGAATGAGGAAGAGGTGCTTTGACTCACCGTCACGCAGTTCCATTCACAGGGTCTCAATTGTTTTCACTCAGGCAGTTCGGTTTGACGCGATGGTGTCACTGTGTCACCGTGTCGTCCGAGAAAGTGGGAGGTCAAAACTTTATGTGTTCTAAATCGGTACCAACGGAACCACTCTGCCGTCACCTAGAAGCCACCTAGAAGTCATACTATGGAGTCTCCCCTTGAGATTATATAGGAAAAAGGACAACTGCTCTCTTCAAAAAGTTGCTACTATAGGTTGGAGGCCATCGCTATTCGGTTGGAGGCCGTCGCTATTCGGTTGGAGGCCATCGCTAAAAAGGACAACTACTCTCAACAAAGCTGCTACGAGCCCCTAGCCCTGAACGCCCCACCAAACCGCACTCCCCGGAGGTGCTGATGTCTGTGAAGCTGGCTGACCTCTTGGACCTGGAGGCTGCACCCCCTGGCACCTGCGAAAACTGGATGAATCAATGGATGCCGCTGCATGCAGCTGGGTCCATGGTATATACGGTAGTCGGTAGTAGTATTTACTTGCAACTAGTAGCTTCTTGTTCCTATGTTCTAAGCATTGTCTGGAAGGATCGGAAACTCAGCTTTTCTCGCAGATGTCAACTGCCGTGTCTGAGGGTTTTCACTTTCAACTGCAATCATTTTGCATCAACTTCTGGCAGGTAGAACGCGATTGTGCATGTTCAGCATCAGCACACATTCCCCATTGTCACCTCACCCGCCACAAACAGGATGGAGAGGGCGTGGAGGTGGCACGTAGACCAAGCAAGCTTTCGACCAACCCACCGCTGGGACCTGCTTGGACAAGCTCCACTGAGGTTAGCTCAACCGACCTTTAGGTTCCTTTCAATTTGACCTCCAAGAGCTGTCCAGAAAAGTTCTTTTCAGATTGACACTTTAGAAGTTAGAAGATTCAGTCCTGCAAAATGGAGTGGGCGATGTCATCACCTTCTCCCTACGATGCAAAGACCAAGGTGAAATGCTCAGTCTTGGGACGTTTCTTGAGAGGTAAGAGGCAAGCAGCTTGTTTCAGGAGCATAACATTATCAATTTAAGCAATTGGATCCTTTTCAAGCCATCCGGAAAGGTTGTTCCAGCATTCCGGCCTTTCCTCCATTCTTTCAGTCACTGATATCCCATATATATATATATATCATTTTACTATATATAGAGCTTTCGACGGCAGACGGAGCACTTTGGCGATGTTCGAGCTTCCGCCACTCGTGACACCTAGACATGGAGTGGAGAAAACAGTGATGGGGATTCATGTATAACATTTATATAGAATCTGAAGAGATCTGAAAGTGAAAAACTTGTGCATTCCTTTTTGAAAGTTGACACTGAAAGTGGGTCACTTCGGTCTTTTCTTTGACTTTGCATCACCGAAAGACTCCCCAAGTGATCCACTTTTCTTTGACCAGCACTCTCACGCTGTCTGAGGCCGCGGCCGTCTCGGCCGGGATCCTCCGGGTTTGGGGGCTTTTGAGATCGATTGCGGGACGAAGATTTGGGGACTGACGGTTTGTTGGATATGTTCAGAGTTGTGTTCTATGCATTTCTATTTTTGATATCGTTTTTTTTGGGCAAGCTCTTCAGATTTTCCGAGGGAATGATGCTCGACACCGGTGTCATGCCAAGCTGTTGATAGATTTTGAGACTCGTGGAGAGTTTCCAAAGGACAGTGAGCCACAACAACCTGTGCATATTGTTGTTTGTGGTAGTGCATGACCTGGTTGATGAGGGCCTTTGGTCATAGTGTCACAAAGCATTTTTTGTAGATGGAGATAACTTAGACATTCTTTCTTTGCAAGGAAGCAAGGGCGAGCCAGTCCCAGTCCCAGCATTCATAAAGTTTTCTTTATCCCCTGGTATCTCCCAAGCTTGTCCACTTGTCCAATCTCTTTTTCATTATTTTCTTATGGTCTCCTCATGGCTTGCTGTCCGACTCAGTCCTTTACCTCCAGCCGAAGAAGTTCGGTGGCTGCGGGGCCCAGCATGACCAGGTTTGCTTAAAGTCTGATGCTCTTCAAGGGAGCTGCCAGACATCTCCCCAAGCCTCAGACAGGTGTGTCTCACTCCTTTCTTGCAGGAACATTCTTTCCCTACGTTGCAGGGAGAGGTACATGTGTGGTTCAGCTTTCAAACGTGAGATGTTGCCGCAAAGCAGCCCATGGGGTCTGACCTCAACGGGTGCGCTGCGTGCGACTGTGTTTGTTTTGGCCAAGGGGCACGGGCTGCGAGTCGGATTGAACCTGAGCTAATGCA